GCTCCCCACAGCAATATGGTGTCCTGGTGTGATGCCAGCTGTCTCGTTCAGCAGCAGCTGAAATTGCATGGCTGTGCTCTCTGCTTTTAAGATGAATGCTATTCTCTCCTTCCTGCAAATACAAGCCTGTTCATCTACAATGTGACGTCCACAGTTGTGGACACACAGTTGTAACTAAGTTATCTGATTTAAATTCTCAAATTTATTGCTCTCAAGATAGGTCCTTTCCAGTTATGAAATAGAAGCTGAAGAAAGTTGGATTTCAGTGCCAAGGATCCTTGGATCTTAGAAAAAGCTGTTAAGAGAAAAAAAATCTAAAACTTGTTTTACAACTAGATATGTATAGATGAATACGTCTTCTGTGAAGGATACCAAAATGTTATTGTCTAAAAGTAATGAGGTACGCTGGTAAGCCTGGTAGCATAAAATACCACAAATAAACTTGGATTTTGCACATGATCTGTGACAGTGTCATACAGGTCAGTAGGATTTTGAGGGTTCTTTGGAGGAGGCACAAGTAATCCCTGATGTCCACTTGTGTAGACTCCAGTAAGTACTCACACATAATACATATGCTTTTTCCCATTTCTGTCTGGTCTGGAGTAAGTATTATGGGCTGAATAACTGGCATTGACAGCAAAATAGGTTCCCTTTCCAAATGCCGCAGCTGTGAGGAGAAAAACAAAACATTTTTAACAATTTCACTTTAGTCTGTAATTTGATGTGTTGACACAATATGCCAAATAATGTTAAAATAATGTTCAGTTCTTCTCTCTAAAGCCTCTATGAAAATTTTCTTTGTGTTTTCAATCAAAAAAATCATTCCTCCACCCCAGAGGGCCCGTCAGTCCCTTTGGGAAGAAACATACTGAGGCCAACCTGAACCTCTGGCTGCAACATGGCCACCAATCATGAGGGAACAAAATGCAAGCCACACTGTCCCCAGCCAGTTTGGATTCTCATGGCTGACACCTCGTTTGGAGCAGCCAGATTACTTGCTTCCTTACCATTCTTTCCAGCATAATTGCGGTTAAAGCCATTTTGGTTTACATGTGGCAGTGAGTCAGCATCTGTCCCATGGAAGAGCTGCTTCTCATTTGTGACATGGCCATTCTTGGCGTCCATGGTAGTTTTCATTGTCTGGTAGCTATTCCAGAGATCTGGATTCTGGATCCTCTCAATCTGCAAATCCATCAGGAAAAATATTCTGTCAGTGCCAAGAGCCCTTGGCAAGACACGGCAAATGAAACATGACCACTGTTTTTTATAAGTAAAAATTACAATAAACAGGGGCTGGCCCAGTGGTGTAGTGGTTGGGTTCATGTGCTCCGCTTCAGCAGCCCTGGGTTCATGGTTTTGGATCCTGGGCACGGACCTACACAGGGCTCATCAAGCCATGCTGTGGCAGCATCCCATATACAAAATTGAGGAAGATTGGCAAAGATGTTAGTTCAGGAACAATCTTCCTCAAGCAAAAAGGAAGATTGGCAACAGATCTTAGCTCAGGGCCAATCTTCCTCACCAAAAAAAAAAAAATTACAGTGAACAGCAAATTCAATGCCAGAGCGTAGCTTTCTGCATTCAGAAATGTTTTTAGATCTAGTGTTCACCAAAATAGTTCTTGGGAAAAATGTTAATTTAATTTTTAACATCTTTTATGTATCACATGACAGCAAACAGTGTTTAGGATCTGAAGTCCTCGTTATATGAACTTGGCCGACCAACCCTCTCCAACTCCTGCTCGTTACCTTCACTCTAACAACTGCTCCTCTTGCCGTCTACCTCACTTTGTCACTTTGTCTCTCTCCACCTCAGTCCTTCTGGGACACTGGTTTACCAGGTAATGTTCTAACAGTGGGAGAAGCACTAGAGTGTCTAGTCAGGAAGGAAATTAATTAATGAAAATTAATCTCTAATCCAGTTGGAAGAGTGGGGCATGAATGCTTGGGGGGAAGCAGATCTGGCTGCAGACCAAAGTGGCCATGCTTTGACCATACTCTTTGGACAGTGGCCTCCAGGGCTGCGGTGGACACTCCTTGGGTCCTGGATTGCAGATCAGCTTCTAGACTCCCCTAATCACCAGGTAGTGGCAGTTTCATAAGGTTGTCCTGGGAAAAAGTGAGGGGTGGGTGAGGGGGGCTAGGCTTGTCATGGAAAGGCATGAGGTGAAGACTCCATGTTTTCAGAATCTTCTTCCATTCTAGAGAATTCTCGGGGCAAACACTATTACCTGCCTTCACCTGGATCTTTTTTTTTTTCCGTTTTTGGTTTCCTATTTTTATTTAAGACACATCTTGCTCTCCAGTTCAAAGTCTCAGCATTATCATGTGTTTTGTTGATCTGATTTATGATTTTAAAACTTATTTTTCCTTTTCCTACAACTAAGTTTCTAATCTTCAAACTCCCTACTTCTATTTTGTTTCTATTTACCTTAAATTTTATTTATTTTACTCATTTTTAAAAAGGCTTAAAAATGTCTTCTTATAGAGTTTTGAAACTGTTCTAATTTCTTAGTCTTTTCATTCTTGTTTCTCACCCTTTTTTAGTATACAGGCATATCTCATTTTATTGCACTTTGCTTTATTGCACTTTGCAGATATTGCATTTTTTTACAGGACCCTCCATCAGCAAAAAATATTACGACTCACTGAAAGCTCACTTGATCGTTAGCACTTGTAGCAATCAAGTATTTTTTAACCAAAGTATGAAAAATTTTTTTAAGACATAATGCTATTGCACACTTAACAGTTTATACTATAGTGTAAACATAATTTTATATGCACTGGGAAACAAAAAAATTTGTGTGCCTTGCTTTATTGTGATATTCACTTCACTGCAGTGGTCTGGAACCAGACTTGCAATATCTCTGAGGTATGCCTGTTGTGCTGCTGAAGCAAGCACTCACCCTTTTAAAATTTAATAACTACACAAAGAAAAGAATTATTTCAAGTAATTTTGAACACAGTAATCTGATTCTGTATTCCTAGTGGGATAAATTCTAAAGTAAAAAAAAAAAAACCATTGCAAATCTTAAATTTACTTAGTAGGTTTCTTTTTGTATCCGACTTCTGGCTATGGTAGACTACTTGTATCAGACTAGTCCTCTTGCCAACAACTACTAGAAGAGCTAAGGGGGGAAAAGTCTACTTGAAGGCAACAAGGATTTGATGGGCCAAGTTCATGGAGAGAAGGGAAGTACAGAGAGAAGCAAAGTCAGAGACAGTAGAATAACTTCTTCAAAGTGCGTAAAGAAAATAACTGCCAATCTAGAATTCTATACCCAGCAAAAATATCCCTCAAAGAATGAAGGTGAAAGAAGACATTTGTCAGACAAACAAAAACTGCAAGAATTCATCACTACCAGATCTACACTAGCAGAAATACTAAAGCTAGAAAAAAAAGGATCCCCGATGGAGGCATGGAAATATAAGAAGGGTTGAAGAGCAGTGGGATGGAAGGGTAAATATGTTGGTAAAAATAAACAAATACTGACTGTATAAAAAAATGAAAATGTTTTGTAGAGTTTCAATATACATAGAATTAAAATGCATGTTAAAAAGTAGTACAAAAGGCAGGAGGGGGATAATTGGGGTTTAAGTATTTGAAGTTCATTGCATTGTCTGGGAAATGATGAATATACTAATTTGCATTAGAGTTTAATAAGTCAAGGATGCATACTTTAATTTCCAGCTACCAAGGAAAAAACTAATAGAAGGTATAATCAACAATCTAATAGGGGGTGAAAATGGAATAACAGAAATAATCCAGAAGAAGGGAGGAAAAGAGAAAAAGGAACAAAGAATAGATATGATAAATAGAAAAAAAAGATTAATATGGTATATTTAAACCCAAACATATCAGTAAATACAGTAAATACATTAAACAGACTAAGTACTCCAAGTAAAAGATAAAGATTGTCAGACTGAATGAAGAAAAAACTCAAGTAAATGGCGCTACCAAGAAACATCTTAAATATACAGTTATAGGAAGGTTAGAAGAAAAAGGGTAAAAAAAAAAGATATAGCATACTAACAATAACCAAAATAAACTTAACATAGCTATTTTAATATTGCTAATAATAATTTTGGTATTCATAATTTTGAAACAATTTTATGTATACTGTAGGCTAAAACAAATAAGTAACTGTAATATTAGGAACCAAAATTTCCTAAGGAAATTTTGACATAAAAGAGACATAAATATAAAATATAAAAAAGTAAGAAAAAGTCTACAATATTAAATTTTCATTGAAAACATCAATATGAACTCATGGTTTTCTTAGCTTTAGTCATGAAAGAGCCTGGAATCAAAAACACCTCAGGAGCAGTGAGCACACCCAACACAGAGATCTTGGTTTCTCACTACCATTCCCAACTAAAAGGAATCAGGGCTTCTTAAAGAAATGTCTGATTCCAGGGCTCAGACAGGGAAAGTACAAGGTGAGCTGAAGAAATCTTGTGCTAGAAAGTGAAGAAATGTTCAAAGATTAACGGGGTCATCAAAAGGACATGAGAGCCAACTTGAAAGGGTTCCTACTAGCCACATGTAGGATAATTTGTGCATCTAAAAGACTAATCACTGTAATTAAATATAATGTACTGAAATTTTTTAAAAGCAAGAGGGAAGAAAATTTGTTCTTTACAAAAATGACAGGTAATAAATGTAGAAGGAATGACAGAATTAGAAAATCACCATTTTGCAACCTCCAATGTAATAATGGATTCAAGAAAGGGTCATCAATGGATGTTAAGGTCAAGCAATAAAAGTTGTTGGGGAAAAGGGTACTATACAGTCACAAAATATCATCCCACAGATTACCTACTGATTCCAGTGGAGAGATAATGGTGGTCACCACCCTAACTAGTGACCAAACTTAGCAACATTAATAGTGTGACAACCTTACCATATGAGGGTTCTGATGTTATCACATCACAAAGAATATCTGAATTTACTCAAGCCTTTCAACATAACTCCCAGTTTACCAGAAATAAAGAGCATAGAGAATAAATGAATTGACACCATGAGGAATCAGACAAATCTAGAATCTATAAGAAAACTGGCTTGGGTTCTTAAACAACAAAAAAAAAATCAAGGCAAAACAGCCAGAATGTGAGACGTTCTATAACTCAGCTCGCTTAAAAGCTTTAAAAAATTCAATATTGATTCAGTCATGTCAGCATCATGGCAGAGTGAGCTCTTCCCTTAGACTCTCCCCACTAAGATACAACAAAAAGGACATTCATAAACCAACAGAGGCCATTCACATGACACAACAGATGTCTGAGAGACCCATGCAGCCATACATCTGAAGGTGTAGGTGCTGGACCCTCCAGGAGGCAGTGGAAGGAGGTAAGGGGATACCTTCTCCCTCCCCCACTGCGGTGACCTAGAGTGTAGGACCTCGAGTGGTCCTGAGAGGAGAGAGGGAAGGGAGAAGTCCTCCGTGGGAATGCCTTCATTCTCCGAGTTCCCTCACAGCCCAGGGAACAGCTCCACACCGAGGAGGCTAAGCAATCGCGGGGGCGTATTCACAAAGCCAAGCAGCCCAAGAAGGCAGACGGCATGGGCAAAGTGGAAGCGACCCTGGGATCGCATGGAAAAGAAAGCACCCCTCCCTCTGCCTGGTGCACCAGCTCTGCCAGTTGGCCAGGGCAAGGGATCCTGGCCAGAGCGCAAGTGCATACAATGTGTACAGCAGTGGCAGTGAGTGGGCTCTGTCAGCATTTAGAAAGACAGTTCCATGAAATTAGGAATAAAATTAATGAAAAGAGGGAATTCTTCACAAAAGAGATTGAATCTATAAAGAAAAACAAATCAGAAATGTTGGAGAGGAACAATAGGCAATGAAGAAGTGAAACTTGTGCTGTTTGCAGATAACATAATCTTATATCATAATCTTATATCTAGAAAACCCTAAAGAATCCATTGGAAAAATGTTAGAAATAATCAACAACTACAGCAAAGTTGCAGAGTACAAAATCAACTTAGAGAAATCAGTTGCATTTCTATATGCCAACAACGAACTGACAGAAAGAGAACACAAGAAGACAATCCCATTTACGATTGCAATAAAATATCTAGGAATAAATTTAACCAAGGAAGTGAAAAACCTGTACAATGAAAAATATAAGACATTATTGAGTGAAATCAATGATGACATCAAGAAATGGAAAAATATTCCATGCACATGCACATGGATTAGAAGAATAAACATAGTTAAAATGTCCATACTACCTAAAGCAATCTACAGATTCAGTGCAATCCCAATCAGAATCCCAAGAACATTCTTCACGGAAACAGAACAAAGAATACTAAAATTCAATGGGGGCAACAAAAGACCCCAAATAGCTAAAGCAATCCTGAGAAAAAAGAACAAAGCTTGAGGCATCACAATCCCTGACTTCAAAATATACTACAGAGCTATAGGAATCAAACAGCATGGTACTGGTCCAAAAAAAAAACACACAGATCAATGGAACAGAACTGAAAGCCCGTAAATAAAACCACACATCTACATACAGCTAATCTTTGACAAAGGAGCTAAGAACATAGAATGGAGAAAGGAAAGTCTCTTCAATAAATGGTGCTGGGAAAACTGGACAGCCACACGCAAAAGAATGAAATTAGACCATTATCTTTCACCATAAACAAAAATTAACTCAAAATGGATTAAAGACTTGAAGGTAAGATGTGAAACCATAAAACTAGAAGAAAATATAGGCAGTACGCTCTTTGACATCAGTCTTAGAAGGCTCTTTTTGAATACCATGTCTACTCGAGCAAGGAAGACAAAATAAACAAATGGGACTTCATTAGACTAAAGAGCTTCTGCAAACAAATGAAACCAGGAACAAAATGAAAAGACAACCCACCAGCTGGGAGAAAATATTTGCAAATCATATATCTGACGGGTTAATTTCCAAAATATATAAAAACTCACACAACCCAACAACAAAAAGACAGACAACCTGATCAAAAATGGGGGAAGGATATGAAAAGACATTTTTCCAAAGAAGATATACAGATGGCCAATAGGCACATGAAAAGATGGTCAACAGCACTAATCATCAGGGAAATGCAAATCAAAACAACATTGAGATATCACCTTACACCTGTTAGAATGCTATAATCACCAAGACAAAAAATAACAAATGTTGGAGAGGATATGGAGAAAAGGGAACCCTCATACACTGCTGGTGGAATGCAAACCGGTGCAACCACTGTGGAAAACAGCATGGAGATTTCTCAAAAAATTAAAAATAGAAATACCATATGACCCAGCTATCTCACTACTGGGTATTTATCCAAAGAACTTGAAATTAACAATTCAGAGAGACTTATGCACCCCTCTGTTCATTTTTGGCATTACAATAGCCAAGATGTGCAAGCAACCCAAGTGCCCGTTGACTAATGAATGGATAAGGAAGATGTACAATGGAATACTAGTCAGCCATAAAAAAACACAGAATCATCTATTTGCGACAACTTGGATGGAGCTTGAGGGTATTATGTTAAGCAAAATAAGCCAGATAGAGAAAGATTTTACTCATATGTGGAAGATAGATAAACTCATGGACAAAGAGAACAGACTAGTGGTTACCAGAGGGGAAGGGGGTTGGGGAGTGGGCATAAAGGGTAAAGGGGCACATATATATGGTGACAGACAAATAATAATGTACAACTGAAATTACACAATGTTATAAACTATTATGACCTCATAAAATCTTCAATATCATGAAAAATAATTTTTTAAAAGTCTAGAGTACCATTCTAGATAAGAAGAGACAAAGGAAACATGATGACCAAATGCACTGTAACAGCCCAGATTGGAGGTGGAGAGGGGAGAGTTATAAGAAAGCTGTTTTGAGCAGCTGAAGAAATTTGAACATGAACTCTGTATTGGATACTATCGAGGGTATGGTATATATCTTTGTAGGACACTTCAAATCTCTTTTGAGTTATTATGTGCTTAACTACATGAATAAACAGAATGGTGGCAGTGCAAATAGAGCATAAGAGAAAATTTGCAAAGAAAGAAAATGCAGGCTTTATTGGCAAGCTCGTTATTATAGAGGAAGGGAACATATTTAAAGATCTCTGGCTTTCCTCAGAAAGCGGTGGAACCAAGGACAGAAATGGGGAAGGAAGGGGAAAGATACTTACTTAGAGATGGTGAGTTAGGTTTCAGGGAAATTGATTTAGCAGAAAGATATTCAGTGGAGATTTTTTAGGCCACTGGGAATACGTTATCGGAAGAGTCAAAGACCCAGCTTGGTGATGTTGATTTGGGAGGCATCAACATTGAAATAATAGCTGAAGCCAAGAAGGGTAAAACCATTCCCTGGTGAAGTGCCGAGACAGAAGACCAACGTATAAGTCCTGTGGGTAAAGCTAAGATTAGGGGTTTGGAAGAGAAACAGATACCAGTGATATTGAAAGGAAAATAGTTAAAGAAGGAGAAGAAAGCATCAAAATAATATTGTCATAGAAGTCAAGGGAGAACATAATTTCAAAGAGCAATATTAGTGTTTGAAAGAGGAAGATGCCAAAATAAGTGCGATGAACAAGGAAAGGACCACTGGATTCATCAAGGAGGCCAGCACTGTTGACCTGTGTGTGGTGGGGCAGAAGCACAGAATCTCATCTGAGGAGCCTCTGCGTGTCTCTCTGTGGTGGTGTGCTAGTTATCAAATCCACCTGTGAAGCCATGTCTTTGAATTTTCATTAGCTTGCTTCACAAAGTAAATATTTGTCTTCAGTATTCTAATATCACATTGCAATCTAATATATTGTAATAACTGACACAAGAATCTCAATCTTCATGTCTCAGTAATTATGGTGACAGAGTAGAATCTAGAATCTAATATCTAGTTACCATAAAATATTCTAATTCTGGGTAAAAAAAAAGGAAGTAAATGAAAATGTATTTATTCAGGATTGTGATACCCCTTATTTCCACCATTAAGAAACTCCATGTCAGCAGAAGGCTTACCTTCTCTATGGTGAAGTTGGAGCAGGTCTGATTAAACTTGCTTGCCACAGTGTTGTATTCTGGATCACCAGGCTGCAGCTCAACCACACAGACCTTCTGCTGCTTCATAGCACTCCAGTGCGCAGGGATCTCAGCTGCAAAGGACACACTTGAGGACTCCCTCACACCTGGGGAGGCTCATCTACATAGCCCACATTCCTGGTATGCTTTGAAAAGCTATCATTTCTGTTCTTGTTTATAATCTCCTAATTCAATGTATTCAAGAAGTTCCTTATCTTTCTAGGAGAATGCTTTTCAAAGCATGGACCAGAGACAACCTACATCAGAACAACCATAATGCTTATTTAGAAAAAGACAACAACACAGATCTATCAAATCAAAATCTCTGAGGGGCAGAACCTGTGTACCTCCTTAACAAGTTTTGATCACGCTCAGATTTGTGAACTGTTGGTATTGTATAACTCAGCTGCATATTCTGTTCAGTCTCTAATCTGTTATAATTTAGTAATTTAAGAATAAATTATTTTCCCACAATTTTTAAAATAAATAGTCACTATTGTCTTGCTTACAAATGCATGGATTTTTGCCAGAACTGCCCCCCACCACAGAGCCCTCCACATCTGTTCTTTCATTGTTCTTCCCAGTGTCCGTATGAGTTGGGTAGGTGGCAGGTTTTGCCATGTGGCAGGTTGTGGGAGCAGCTCTTTCTCCCCTTCTGCTAAATAGATTTGTCATTTCCCCAGGGTTACTCAGAATCTGAGAAATTCATTCATACCGATCTCACAAGAGATGAAGATTATGTACTGGAAGCCAATTTACTAGTTTTCAGTGGGGACCTATGTGGTTTGAAGGCAGGAATGGCTGTTTACACAAGACAAGATTTCCCTTCCTGCAGAGAATCTGAAGGCTGCTTCCTTTTGCATGTGTCAAGGAACCTTATGTTCAGGGCAGAGGAGGAAGTGACTTCTGGGAGAAGATCCTACAGGCTCCTGATCCTATCTGGGTTATCAGTCACAGACACAGAGAGTGCCCACTTTCTGATCAGGCTGTCTTCTCCCTTTTGTTCTAGAAAACCTTCGGCTACTTTTCTTTAAAGCCCGCGGCTTTCCCTCTCCTGACGGAAGCAGCCAATGCCTCCTCAATAGAACTGGCTCTGGGAAGCCTGTAAACTGTAGAGATGGGAACAAATGCAAGGTTTGGCTAGTGCCATCATTAAGATGGTCATCCTCCAGGGTCTTGGGTGCACGCACCCCTGCTATATTTTCCTGGCCATAATGTAAGCCCCTTAAGCTCAGAGACCACATTTTCTATTTTATTCCATAACAGTTACTTGAATTTCATCTACTTGAATACAATTTTGATGTATGTACAAAATACAAAATAGGTCTAAAATAATGTATACAAGCATAAAAGTTTGACTCACCTTCAGATTTCATAAGGCGCCGAACAGATAATTGGTGTCCATTTGTATTTGTAGCAGTGTGTGTGTTGAAATCCACTGTGTAGCTCTGATGATTAATTTTGACACTAATTGCCTTTTTCTTTGCTTTCCTTGCATCCTCCAATTGCAGATTGGTCATTTTGTCAACAGGATGAAAAGTGTTATTGTCGTTATATTGCCATTCTATACATTTACTGAGAGAATCTGCCCGGGATTCCTGTTCTTTGTGCACCCTGACCCTCTTGATCATTTCCTCAATTGCATCTCTAGCCTGTGTCACATCTCTGTTCATTCCCAAAACCTCAATCAAAGGTCTTTTATCGTCCAAGGAAATGGTAATGTATAATTTCTTCTGCAGTTCATTCAATTCCCCATATTCCTTTTCATAAAAGTATTTGATACATTCATCTTCACTGGTGTAATGAGACTGTTCCTTTTCAATCAGATCCCGTATCCAGGAGAGGGCGTTGTCCACACATTTTACATTTTCACCACACACCTGAAAAACTGCTGATTCTGTTTTCTTTTCCAAAACCAAAGGTTTCTGTTTTTTGGGAGATTGCTTTAAGAAGCCCAAATATGCTAAAAAAGAAAAGAAGGGAAGATTAGTTCTTTCTTTCTTTTTTCTTTTGTATCACCATACTCTACATTATATCCCCTGGGCTTATTTTCCTTATAACTGGAAGTTTCTACCTTTTGAGCACCTTTACCCATTGTGCCCATCTCCCACCCCTCTGCCTCTGGCAAGCACCAATGTGCTCTCTGTATCTATGAGTTCGGTTTTTGTTCTTTTTAACGGATTCCACATATAAGTGATATCATACAGTATTTGTCTTTCTCTGTCTGACTTACTTCACTTAGCATAATGCCCTCAGGGTCCATCTGTGTTGTTGCAAATGGCAAGATTTCATTCTTTTTTATGGCTGAATAATATTCCATTGTGTGTGTGTATGTATACATATACATATATATATATACATATACACCACATTATCTTTATCCATTCATTTGTCACTGGACACTTAGGTTGTTTCTATGTCTTGGCTATTGTAAATAATGCTGCAGTGAATATAGATGTGCAGATATCTTTTTGAGACAGTAATTTCGTTTCCTTCCAATAAATAACCAGAAGTGGAATTGCTGGATCATATGGTAGTTCTATTTTTAATTTTGGGGGGAATGTCCACACTGTTTTCCATAGTGGCTGCACCAATTTACATTTCCACCAACAGTGCACAAGGGTTCCCTTTTTTCCACATCCTCACCAACACTTGCTATGTCTTCTCTTTTTGGTAATAGCCATTCTATCAGGTGAAGTGATCTGCAGTTCCCTCGTTTTGGTTTGCAGTTCCCTGCTGACGTAGAGCACCTTTTCATATATTTTTTGGCCATTTGTATGTCTTTGGAAAAATGTCTATTCAGAGCCTCTGCCCACTTTTAATTGGATTTTTTTTTTTGCTATTGAGTTGTATGAGTTCTTTATATATTTTGGATATTGACCCCCTATCAGATGCATAACTTGCAAATATTTTCTCCCACTCCAGAGGTTGCCTTTTCATTTTGTTGATGGTTTCCTTTGCTGTACAGAAGCATTTTAGTTTGATGTGGTCTCATTTGTTTATTTTTGCTTTTGTTGCCTTTGCTTTTGGTGTCAAATCCAAAAAATCATTGCTAAGACCAATGTTGAGCAGATTACCCCCTATGTTTCCTTCCAGGAGTTTTATGGTTTCAGAGTCTTACATTCAAGTGTTTAATCCATTTGGAGTGGATTTTTGTATATGGTATAAGATAGTGGTCCAGTTTCATTCTTTTGCATGTGGCGGTCCAGTTTTCCAAACACTATTTATTTAGTGTATGTGCTGCCAAAGCGATCATCCAACACTATTGAAGAGACTGTCATTTCCCCATTGTATATTCTTGACTCCTTTGTTGTAAATTAATTAACCTTATATGCATCGGTTTATTTCTGGGCTCTCTATTCTATTAATCTATGTGTCTGTTTTTATGCCAATATCATACTGTTTTGACTAATATAGTTTTGTAATATAGTTTGAAATCAGGAAGTGTGATGACTCCAGCTTTGTTCTTCTTTCTCAAGATTGCTTTGGCTATTCGGAGTGTTTCAAGGTTGCACACAAATTTTAGGATTGTTCGATTTCTGTGAAAAATGCTATTGGAATTTTGATAGAGACTGTATTGAATCTGTAGATTGTTTTAGGTAATATGGACATTTTAACAACATTAATTCTTCCAATCCATGAGCACAGAATATCTTTCCATTTATTTGTGTCTTCTTCAATTTCTTTCATCAATGTCTTACAGTACAGGTCTTTCACTTCCTTGGTTATATTTATTCCTAGATATTTTATTCTTTTTGATGTAATAGTAAATGGGATTGTTTTCTTAATTTCTCTTTCTGATAGTTCATTAAAGATTAGCCAATTCTCATGTGACATCAGTATTAGGAACATGCATTTCATAAAAAAGAACAACTCACATGCAAGTTTAGATATCACAGACTGTTGGACAGAATCCTGAGATCTTACTCTTTTTTTCATGTTGGCATAAAACACCTCCAGTACTTGAGGCAGAAAGATAACAACTTTAACTTTTTTCACGGACTGGACCGATCCTTTATGTATAAAGTCTTCAATGGCATCAATTATGGCTCCAGCAACCTTATCCGGGTCTTGTTTGGCATTTCCTGGAAAGGCAAATAATAAAAGTTACTGGAAAAAAAAAAAAAACCCAACTGGAAAAGGCTGAGGAATAAATTAGAAATTTCAATTCTCACGGAATAAATGCCCGCTACGCAACTCTCCCCACCATGGAGTTTTCCAACAATGCATCAGCAAACACTTTTGAAGTCCTAGATGCAATGGGGCGTTTTTTTTTCCGGGATGTCAGGAAGCCAACAGCCCCACAATGAACAAAGGACCCAGAAACCTAGCTTTCGGTGTCTGATGTTCATATCTGCTCTATCATCTGACCCCAGCTTACTGTCTTCCTCTGCTACAGAGCACAGTTAACCTTTCTTGGCTCACTAGTGTCCTTAAAAGATCCATGAAAAGGAAAAAAAGCTAATATGTTGAAACATCATGCTCTTTAAAGAGAACAACAATATTTTTTCTCAGTCATCACTTGACTTTATGCATGTGTCCTTATTCTCCCAAATGTCTTTGGGGACCTGATTTAAATTAAGCTAATTTTGTAAGACACCTGGAGGTATAAGCTATTTGTTATAATCTCTAATTCTTTGTACACAAGTCGCCCATGAGCCTCCAGGAAGCCTTTCCTCCCACACTCAGATTTTAGTTGACTTGCAGGGTTCCAGGTTGGGTATAGGGACTGGGGAGATATTTAGCAAGTCAAGTCAGCAGGACCTAGTGACCACCTGGGTTTATCCTTGACCCTTTGTCCCCCCTCTTCTGCCCCCCTCACCCCTTCATGTGTATATCATGGGTCACGCTGTATTGCAGTTGCTTACAAGTCTGTCTCTCACAGTGGCTGGGTGCTCCTTGGGGACTGGACCCTTTCCTTAGTCATCTTTCTATCCCCAGTGCCTACGCACTGTGCCTGGCACATGGCAGGCACTCAGTAAATATTTAATCAAACTAATTAATAAGCTAAAGAACATGGGAGTGATAAAGAGGGTAGAGTCAAGGATTCTAGATAGAAAGTGATGCTTTTAACATGATCGGTGATATAAAATGAAAGGCTGGTTTGGGGGAGAAGACAATGAGAGTTTGGAGTCTGCATGGAGCTTGAGGTGCTTGCAGGCTTCGCTGACCTCCTTCTCTCCCCTTAGGCAGGCATGTGTAGGGAACAGGGAGAGGGTTTCCTTTACTGCTGAAAGCTTCTTGATCACAGTCCCAATTCAATTCATAGACACCACTAAGGGAGAAAGCTCCCCCATCCATTAGTCTAAGGACCAGCTCAGGTGGTATGGAGATAGGAAAAGAAGACAAGCAAGGAGAATCTGCTCACTTTGATTTACTCATACAGACCAGCAATGCAACCAGGTCAGTGGAAGGAACAGCATGTTTGCAGTAACCCAGAAATACTCAAACATATGTACGTATTTATACAAAACTAAAATGGCCTCCTTTCCTTGTTTCTTCTTTGGCTCCACTGAGGGACTCCCTTGGGAAGGGCTGTGTCACTCCTGGGCTGCCTGCTTTCTTGGCCCAAATAAATTAAGGTAGAAACACAGGACTAGAGTGCAGAGGAGAAAGCAGAT